CACAAGGTCCTGAGTTTGAGCCTTTGTACTGGAAAAAAAGGAAAAGAAAGAAAGAAAGAGTCAGAGATAGATGAGAAAGAGGAAAGACTGGAAAGGAAGGAGGGAGGGAAGAAAGGAAGAGAAGGAAAGGAAGGAGGAGGAAAGGAAGAGGGGAAGGAAGGAAAGAAAAAAGATAGGAAGAAATGCTTTAACAAAAAGTGTGTGTCTCCCCAGACCATGATAGGCATCTCCTAATGCTGTAGTAGGCTTAAGAAACCATAGAGAATTAATCTGTGCTGCCTTCATTCATCAGTTCATTAAACAAAACCTCTCCTGTCTTCCGGGTCCTTCATTAGTGGTGAGGTGAACTGAGAGCCTCAGCTCGCATTAAGCCAGTGAACACGGAGCACACCACACGGAGTCCCAGCGTAGGTTCACGTCTGAGCTGTAGACTTGCAGCAGGAGAGGAGGCACTGTGTGATTCACTGAGGGGGAGCAGAGGGCATTCAGTGTCTCGGAGGGTTTCATGGAGGAAGTGGCCCCTGGGGAAGGATTTGAAGGAAGACTTGGAGCTTACTTGGTGCATGGGGAAAAGGCCCCTGGGCAGAGGAAACAGCCTGTGCAAAGGCCTGGGAGCTGAGTCACAGACTGTCACGACTCAGAGACACTGCGGAGGTGACCTCATCCACCCACTGGTGGTTCAGCGAGGCTGTGGTGCGGAGGGCGGAAGGGACAGCTGAGAGCCACCAGGCAGCAGAGCTTGGGCTGGAATGAACTCTGCCCCATTCCGGGTCCTGTGCTGGGAGAACACAGAACATGGCAGAGTTCACTCCAGCCGGAGACTCCAGCAGGAACTTTCTCTTACTGAGCACATGATAGACCTCATACACAGTACTGTGTTCCCCGCTTGGTGGCTCTCATAGGTGACTTACATGCTCACTTGTGACTAACTTCAAGTCACCTGAATTTAGTGGGACCACAGCTGGAAGGGCTGATGCCTTCCATGGTGCCAGACATACAACAGGTGTCTCCTCTAAAGGACACACAGATGACAACTTGGGACTTATGATGATTTGAGGCCAGGCTCTTAAAAGCTCTGAGCAATGGAAAGTCGGCACTTCCAGGCACCTGTGTTACTCAGTTTGAAAGGGGACAGGTCGTCCTGGAAATCACCAAATGTCACCCTAACCAGGCTGCGTTTTGAGTGGGTGTGGTAGTCATTCAATTTTTTTTCTGGTACTGGGAATCAAATGCAGGACCTTGCCACACAGGCGTGGCTCCACTGAGCTATATCCCCAGCCTTGGGGTGGTGAAGGAGGGCTTCTCAGTCATTCTGGGCTTTCTGTTTGACAGGGCTAAGGAGGAGGGACAGAAACGCCGGTGACATGTGCCTTCCCTGCCCCGGTGGGCACAGAGCTTCTGGGCTGCTTGCTGTGGTACTGGGTCTTCCCTGGCAGCAGGTTGATGTTCCTAGCCTTACTTCTCAGATTTAGAAAACTGAGGCTTGAAGAGGGATTGTGTCGGAGCACAGGTGGCTTGGGCAAAGAGAGGAAAGCACCGCCTTTGCAGTGTGGTCTCAGGGGCTCAATATCATCACTGAACTGCATCCCAACCAGGTTTGAAATACCGAGTGTGACAGTAAAGGGAAATTATGATGAAAGCAGCACTGAAAGAGCTTCCGAGAATGCAGTCAGGACCCTGGTGGGTACCAGGTCTTCTGTGATTCCAGCTGCTGCTGTAACTGTGCACTTTGGTCAACCCTACCCGCGGCCCATGGCCTCAGGAGCAACTGGACAATTATATTGCACCCAGAGGCTCAGGTGCACAGTAAGGGCTGGGTGTGTCACTTAGTAGTAGACTCTTGCCCAGAACATGTGAGGCCATGGGTTCCATCCCCAGTACTGGAAAAGAAAAGAAAAGAAAAAATAAGAGTTCAAGGCCAGCCATGGACTACACGGTGAGACCTTGTCTCAAAAGAAAACAAAAAACACGTATCTAGAGGTTATTGTGCTCTTGCTGGGTACAGCGTGCATGCCTGTAGTCCCAGCTATGTGGGAGGCTGATATCCTGATTTCTTTAACCAAGAAAATAGAAGAAAAAGAGGGAGAAGTAGTTGAGATCAGGAGCAGGCAATTTTTCTGTAAAGGTCAGGGGCTTTGTGGGCCGTCCTGTCTCTGCAGCAGCTCCTCAACCCCACCTCTGCAGCATGTAGTAAGCCACTGAAGCTGGCATGGTGGTGCACTCCTTAATTCCACACACAGGAGGCAAGGCAGGAGGAGCCCAAGCTCGAGGCCGGACTGGGGCACATAACAAGACCCGTCAATGGCTGGCTTCTTATGATGTTCATTCACGAAAGCAGATGACAAGATGGATTTGGCTCTAGACATAATTTCCCTACCCATGATTGAGAGTAAGAGACTTCTTGGAGCACAGCAGAGCTAAGCACCTTGGGAAAAAGAGGCTGCCTATGGATTATAGTAACAGGGGTTTCCAGTTGGACCTTGATGCTAATGGCAACCTGCTGTTCCCCCATCTTCATTTTGTCACTATATTGCCAAGGGAGAAGCTTGGGGAGCATGAGGTTTACCTGGCCATCCTTGCTGGGATCCACTCCAAGTCATTGGTGCCTGTGTATATTAAGGTGAGGCCTCAGCCAGAGACCGTATCCAACAATCCCAGCAAACAGAAGCTGACCTGCCCTTTCTGTTTTGGCACCTTCGTGACAGCTGATGCCTATGAGCTACACCTGAAGGAGAGGCACCATGTCATGCCGACAGTCCACACAATGCTCAGGTCTCCAGCCTTCAAGTGCATCCACTGCTGTGGGGTCTACACTGGAAACATGACCCTGGCCGCCATTGCTGTTCATTTGCTGCATGGTAGAAGTGCTCCCAAGGATAGCAGCTCAGACCTGCAAGTCCAGCCAGGTTTTACTGAGAGCAGCGATTTGGTATTAGTCAATGGGGAAGTGATTCCTGATTCTACCTTTCCTACAAAGAGAAAGCTGCCAGATGGCCATTTGGGGACAGAAGACCAAAGGGGTGGGGAAGAATCACCACTTGTTGTAAATTCGGAGGCAGCCCCAGGTCTGGAGAAAGGGACAAGGGCTGTGCCTTTGAAGAGACAAAGGAATGAAAGGATGACAGAGGGACTGGTGGTTAATGATGATGCACTCCAGGTTTTAGTATTAGATCCTAAAAAATATGAAGGCCATTCATATGAGGATAAAAAGCAGTTTCTTAGAGATTATTTCCATAAGAGACCATATCCTAGCAGAAAAGAAATAGAACTACTATCTTCACTGTTATGGATGTGGAAAATTGATGTGGCTTCATTTTTTGGAAAAAGAAAATATATTTGCATGAAAGCAATAAAAAAATCCACAAGCCCTCTGTACTTCTAGGCTTTGATATGTCTGAACTTAAAAATGTTGAACACAGATTGAACTTTGAGTATGGACCAGAAAACTTGTAAGTCTGTAGTGCTAGGCGATAGTTTTCAACTGAGGTTTTAAAGATGTTCTCCCTCGCTGTGTTAAGTTGTCAGTGTCAGTGTCTTTATGCTGCTCTACAGGAATTTCAGGTGCTCAGAAAGACTTCTGTTAAGGCAATGAATAGTTCTTCAGATTTATTGTTTCTTGCAGTTTGATTTGTAATTGTTATTCCCCCGTCATGTAAATTATATCTTTTGGTATTCCACGCACGCCTTTTTTTCTCACTAGTGTCACTATCAAATGACAAAAAACTGAAATTACAAATACTTGTTCTTTTAATTTTAGGAAATTTCAGCTTGTTTGAGAATACTTGATTAGTAGAAAATTAAAGTATTGCTCTTCCTCAGCTTTACAGGTAGTAGCTAATGACACATACATGTTTAGAGATACAAGTACAGTCCTGTGATGTGTATGGCTCCCTAAGGACACACTGCATTAACTCTTGCTGATTGTTGTTTGTGAGCTGTTTGCTTATGAAATTATAATTTTGGTTTATACTTTTTCAGTTTTGTCCTGATACCTTTGTCAAAAAACATCATAACTCATAGGAAACCAGATATTTTCATTTATTAAAAATATCCTGAGTCAGAGGTCGGGTGTGCAGCTCATAATCACGTTATTTTATAAATAAAGTCATTACAGGAGCAGAAATAGTTTCCATCATACTTTCCCTTTTGATACAGTGACAAGTCATTTCTCCATTCAAAGGTAAGACAGTGAATCTATAGTGCCTTTAGAATACACATTGAGAAAACACACCTAGAACTCTTCTCCTAGCCTGAACTGCTTATAAACTAGTGGATGGGAAGGACCATGGTACTCAGGAATGAAATTTCTACCCATATGTGTGGATACTAGCCGAAAAGGAACACAGATTTCAAGCATAAGGTGAAATCAATAGACCAAGAACTCAGTCTTCATGGTTGGGATTGCCAGGGGTAGACGTATTAGAACAGGGGAAATGGGTTTTCCTTTGGCCTAGTTGTCCAAGTGAATGAGATGTGTGATTGCTGAAGAATCTCTATTATATCACTGTTCTGTGGATGTCAGGCCTCATTTTTTCCATACAATATAAAATAAAGCACCAGAACCAGTAATGTCGAAGTCAATTTAGATCCTCAGTTGTACTGCTGGTGATAGACGATGCAACGAGGAGCCTGTCCAGCTTATTTTCAGGTGGAAGTATCTGGAACATGTGACAGCCTCTGCAAAATAGTACAGTGTTGCTAAATGGAGTTTAAAAAATATTAACGCTTGCATGTAACTGCTGTAATGTGCATTTTTGAGGCAGTTGTGAAACTGGTCTGTGACTGTTGGTGTACTCTGTTATAAATTCAGAGAGAGCTTGTTGGACTTTATTTTTTTTAACCTGTTGTTTTCAGAGTGTCTATTTTGAATTAAAATTTGTTACATCACTGCAAAAAAAAAAAAAAAAGAGAGTAAGAGACTTCTGAGTCCCATCAGCCAAGTACAACGTATGGACGTTGCTTGCATCCTGATTTGGACAAACCAAGTCTTCACAACAAAATAAGACAAAATTTTTTATGACAGTTGAGGAAATGTGAACAATGATTAGATGTGAGACAATTTTAGGGCATTACTTTAATATCATTAGTGTGACAAAGACATTATGAGTTATGATCTTTTATTGAAGAGTCATTATCTGTTAGCTACTGTTACTAAATGGGAGGTGATGTCTGGGATTTGCCTTGAGAAAATTCAGGGGATATTGGTCAGCTTTCTTGTCACTGGGACAAAATACCAGACACCCACAACTTAAAGGAGGAGAGACTCATTTGGCTCATAGTTTTAGTGGGTTCAGTTCATGGTTGGCCAGCTCCAAGGCAGCAACAACATGATAGAAGGGCTTGGTGGAGAAAAGCTGCTCATGTCTTGGCAGCAGAAGCAGAGAGTAAGAGGTGAGATACAGGATAAGAATACACTGTTCCAGGTCATGCCCCAAGTGACCCACCCCCTCTGACCAAGTCCTATCTCTGCACATGAGACTTCTGGGGGGTGTTTTAGGTCAAAGCCGTAACATAGGGTATGTAGAGAGGGAATAAAGATGACATAAAGTGGCCGTGTGATCATGACTAAAGTTGGGTGATGGGTAAGTTGGGGAGGTAGAGTCTCCATAATATTCTGTCTTCTTAAGTATGTTTGAAAATCTATATAATAAAATAAACAGGGGCAGTAAGAAAGAATTCCCTTTTCCATTGCCTCTGGTCACCAAAGCATCTGGTGAATATGTGATACCTGGAGCAAAGGCAGTCATTTTGCAACTAAGAGAGGACAAGCTCAAAGATGAGACTTAAACACCAACCACGGCAGAGTGGAAACAGGAAGGTCCTGGAATGGGGGCTGATTCTGTTGGCCTGTCAGATCAGTCAGATCCAGAGCTAGCTTGTTTTGGAATTCCTTTTTATGTGAGATAATAAACCATATTTAATTGATCTATTTATTTTTGGTTATATATGTAACTCAAAGCACTGTAACTGATCTAGAGAAAGGAACAGAATGGAGTCCTGCTCCCTTTTAGTGGCAGGATACCACCCACAGCACTGATAGGGACACCAAGGTGGGAAGAAAGGCTTTGTGAGCATTTCCATCACATCCCAGGGCCCAGGAAGTGGTGGAGGACTCTGACCCGAATTACCTCTCCCCAGCCCCAGAGGCCAGAGCCAATGCCTGCTCCTGACTTTGGTTAGAAGAATGCCCATGTTGCAATTCACGGTTTCAGGAGAGAAAGCAGCAGACCAGAGCTCAGAAAGGACAGCTGGCCTTTCTGCCTTCCCTCCTCACAAGAATAGGGAGACCTCCTCTGCCTGCACCCCCGACACGCAGCAACCACACCACACGATAACACACAGGGCGCAAACAGCATTGTTTCTAGCTGATCTCATGTTCAGCTGGACCCGGGATATCTGCTGTTCTGTAATATATGACAAGTCACTGTGGTTAGCTTAGCCTGTCTGGGTCTCCTAGATACAGTCGTTTAGCTACTTGCCAAAAATGTGCAGAGGGGAGGCTGGGGAGAAGAGGAGGAGAAGGAGGAGGAGGAGGAGGAGGAAAATGTGGAGAAAGGCCACGTGGCATGCTCTTTCTCTGCTCATCTGGATGCTCCTGGAGCTCTGCCCAGGCTCCTGGAGCTCAGATAAGGCTGCAGCCCAGGCTTTGAGACTGGGCTGGAAGAGAGGGTAGCAGCCTTTAGTTAGGAGCAGCCACAAACTGGTTTGTTCTCACTTTAATTTGGCCCAAATTCTCAAGGATTTGCTCAAAATATTTTTTTTTTCTCCTGATACTAGGGATTGAACCCAGGGCCTCAGGCATGCTGGGCCTACCACTGGGATACATCCCCGGGCTTTTTAAAGTTTATTTTTAAAACAAATTCTTGCTAAATTCTGCGGGCTGGACTTGACCTTGATATCCTCCTGCCACAGCCTCCCTAATAGCTGGGATTATAGGCATGTGACACCATATCTGGCTAGAACAGTGATACTTAAATTCGAGTATACATCAGAATCCCCTGGAGGAATTGTTAAAATATAGATTTTTGCTCATCTCTCAAAGTTTCTGATTCAGTAGGTCTGAGATGGGGCCTGAGAACTGATGAATCTAACAAATCCCCAGCAAACATTAATTCTGTTGGTCAAGAGGACACTTGAGAATCACTGGCTTAGAACTCCGTGTGTGTTTGAGTGTGAGAGTGAATGGGATTTGAACCCAGGACCTCACATGTACTAGGCGTGCATTCCACCTCTGAGTTCATTCTAGCCCTTTTTATTTATTTTTGAGATGGGGTTTCGCTATGATGCCCAGGCTGGCTTCTAACTCCTGGGCATAAGTGATTCTCCTGCCTCAGTCTCCCAAGAGCTGGGACTACAGGCGCATGTTACTGTCCCCAGCTATAGAACTTCTATGCAAGATTGTGGCTCTCAGTAGCAGGAGGAAGAGACCCAAACTCTTTTTCCTTTTTCCTCTGGGCCAAGGTGGGAACCAACAAAGAATGGCCAAAGGGCTCATGGTCCTGGGTGGGAGGAACCAATACGGTCGATGCTTTGAGATCACTGAACCAGGAACCAGGAGACCTGAGTGGTTAGACTGCCCTTGAGTGATCTCACTGGTGCCCTCTGTCTGTCTCTCTGCAAAATGACCAGGTGGTACTTTTTTCCGCGTGTTATTGCTTTCTAAAAAAACAAAGGAAAGGGAAACAAAGTGAAGTAGGTGATCTCAGAAGGGGTGAGGGTAAGAGAATCTGGTGGTTGTTGGATTTGGGTTTGCAGATGGCCCTGACGTTCACCAGCTTTGACCCCTGGGCCAAAGTGCCCAGCCTGGCGGTCTTGGCCTCCCTGTCTGTAGCTGGGGATCAGGATGCTGACCTTGTAAGGCTGTGGAGGGAACTGGGGCAAATGTGGGACGTGGCTGGCCAATAAGTGTCAGCTGTGATGGGCATTTCCAGTTCAGTGTCTTTTCAAGGCTTAAGGGGACAGGAAGGTGACTCTTCTTCCCATCCCTATCCGACCATGGGGCCTGGTGACCTTCATGCTGCTGTTGGACTCAGAGCTTCCAAGCATGGCTCAAGTTTTCCCCTGGAACGATTGTTGTGAGAAATGCTTGGCTCCCCACATTTCCCAGGTCCCATTCTTCTCTAGCTCCCATGCATCTGATTATTCATTTAATATTTATTGAGGACCCACTTGTGTGTACCACACAAGACAGGCCCTGGGGGACACAAGGAAAAGATCTCAGATGCAGTCCCTGTTCCCTGGAGAGCTCACAGGCTTGGGGGGAAGTAGATGGTAATCTGCAAATCACACAGAAACAGGTGAAACCCAACAGTGAGAATACTAGGTAGGCAGCGGGAGATGGATGGAGGATGTGGCCACAGTAGGGGCCAGATCAGGCTTTAGGAAGGGTGGACTGAAAGGATGACACCTGAAATAACAGAAATTGGCTGGATGAGGAAGGAGGATAGAGCCTTGAGAACAGGGGGATCAGCCTGTGCAAAGGTCCTGAGGCAGGGTGAGCACGGAGCCTCCAAGGAGCTAGGCTGGAGGGCTGTGGAGGCAGGAGGGTAAGCAGCAGGCAGTTTACCTTTATCCCAAGGCCAACAGAGCCTTTGGAGGTCTGACAGCAGAGAGGACCACATCACATGTGACTGGAGAAGTTTCCAGGGGCCAGAGAGCAGGGAAGATACGTGTTAGGGCAAGACTATGGCAGTGTGCAGAGCGAGGATGCTGGTGGCCTCAAGGGGTGGGGCCCATTTGAGACAGAGAGAGGTAGCTGTATTTGGAAGATCCTTTGGGATTGACTGTACAGGGCGTGGAGGTGACAGATGTGGTGTGTGAGAGGTGACCAGGGTGGCCCCAGATGCTGGCTGGTTGTCTAGATGGGTGATGGCATCTTTCACTGAGCAGGGTCCAGTCCCTTGCTCTTCGCCTGAGTATTTCGGAGCCCTGCTGGTAACTGCTCACATCAGGGCAAGGACCCTCTGGGTGTGTTTGGGATCCCTCACCTCCTCCAGGTGGTGGCAAACCCTGTAAAGTGCTTAGGATGGCAGCTGACACACAACACATGACCGCCACCTGCTGCTCCCAGTGCTTTGGCCCGCGGTCACACACAAAACCTCTCATGGAGCAGTTGGCTCTTGCTGCAGACACTTCTTCCCCTGAGGTGGGGCGATGCAGCAGCTCAACTTTGAACCGGTGAGGAGGCTGGGAAAGGGACCTGGTGCTTGGTGAAAGTTGAACTTTTGCAGAGGACAGAGCAGGTGTCTCAGATTTGAAGTTGGGGATCTGGCCCTGCTCGAAACTGGCGGTGTGACCAGCAGTGAGTTCCTTATCCACTCTGGACCTCAGTTTACCTAACTGCACATGGAGGCAGAGTGCTGGGTTGGAGACTGGTCAGAGCTCCTGCATCTCTAAATCTCTAGGGCTTTGTCTGTGTTCACAGGAGCGCAAGTTGGGGCCTGGGACTGCCATCCTCTTCCGAGTGAGGTCTGGGGTCTGCCCAGCCTGCAGCCTGTCAGTCCACCTTCCTCACCATTGCTGTAGCAATCCTGGTGCTACATACCTCTGCATCCACCTTCCCGGCTTCTGTGGGTTCTAGGTGCTCCAGCTCTTCCTGCTCCTGCCTGGGATGCCCACTCCCAGCCAGGATCCTTCTTCCTCTCTCCTCTCCTGTGGCAGCTTGGCTTGGACCACATCTTCCACAGCACCCTCTGGGGCCTTCCTCCTGGGAATCCCCTAGTCCTCTCTGGTGACCCTGCTCATTCACCCAGGGACACTTCTCCATCCCTCTCACGTGCTCTTCAGGCTTCCTCTTGCACAAGCTGTGTCCTCTGATTGGTCACTGGCTCCACCAATCACCAGCATCTTGTATCCCCCTCCTCAGGCTCTTGGACTTGGAACTGAGGATTGGATAAATGTTGGGAGACCATCAGCCAGAGAAACACGCAAGCCATTCTCTCTGCACCAAGTCCCAAGGCGAGAGATGGGGAAACTCAGGACTTGCCTTCCTAGGAAGGTCCCCCAGCTGATGCTCGTGGCTTTCTTTGCTTTAGCCCTGTTCATTTCCAGAAACGGGGCCACCCGGCTATTTCCCCATGTTCTGGCCCAGACTCCTAAGTTATGCCCCTATGTCCCCTCTTCCTAACAAAGGCTTCCTCAGTGGAAAAGAGCTTGGACACACAATACTTGTCAACAGAAGCAGCCACTGTAGCCCCAGGGAAGGGGGTGGGGGCAGAGAAGCCTGATGAAGTTTTGCTTCCTATTTGCTGAGCCTGGCTCATGAGTCAGCACTGGGGTCCCAGCTGTGGTCCATCCCCCCTTGACTTACCCTGCATAAGGCAGGAAGAAAGGGGTGGGTGGGGCAGCTTGGGCCCTGAGTTTTCTCTGATATGGCCTCACAGAAGGGAGAAAATGAACGCTCCTTATGCCACACGTCTCTTCTGTCCCCACAGGGCTCCCGTTCTGCAGCTAGAAAAACTGAGACCCAGGGAGAGGAAGCCAGCGTCTGTAGAGGGCCAGAGCAGAACCCTGCAGCTCATTGTCTCTCGCCCTTTCTTTAAATGCTCGCTCCCTCAAAAGAAACCCCAGCTGGGTCTTGACTTTACGGGCCTAGGGGATCAGGAAGAGGAGACAGAGGAACTCTATTCTTCCTGCACTTAATATAGATCAGTTTGATGGTGTCATTTCCAAATAACTGGACGCCCCGATGTTGCTTATCTGCTGTACAAATGAGCAGGCCTTTCAAAACCTCAGCATCATTTGGAAGATGATTATTCAAACAAACAAAGCTTTTTTTCTTCAGTTCCCACCTTTGGATTGCTTGAAGTATTGTTTTTGTTTTTGTTTTTTAATTTTTTTTTTTTGGTACCAGGGATTGAACTCGGGTCCTTGCGCTTACAAGGCAAAGTATTGTTTTTCTATTTCTTTTCTTTTTGTGAATTATTAGGCACACATTTACAGAGTAGAGCCAGAGCGAGGATTTTCTATTGGGCTGTTGGCCCTGAGCACTGAACTGTTCTCAGCATCAGGCATCCACTCTCTCTCAGGCTCTTAGTCTTCTTCTCCACTGTGGGCCCCAGCAGGGGTTACTGGTGCCAGAGGCGGAGATGGAGGCACTTGTCATTTGTTTGCACACAATATGTGCTAAAGTCAACACTCACGTCTCTGGTGAGGAAACTGAGGCTCGGGGCTCGGCTGTCAATCAAGGCTGTGTGTCTGCAGAGCTGGGGCTCCGTCCTTTCCACGCTAGCCCTCCTCTTGGCCAGGGGACCGGACAGCTAGTGTACAGGTGCCGGTGCACGAGGTGTGCCGGTGCAGCTGGTACACTGGGAACCAGGGAGCTGGAGTCTGCAAAATGGATAGATCCAAGCAGCCAGTGGTTAGCGGGGCATCAAGACCACTAGGAGAGGAAGAGGGAGATTCCTTCTGGGGGCTCACCAACTTCCAATGCAGTGGGACGCTCCCTCAGCGCCGGCTCTGAACCGGTAACAGAGAGCTGGCCCCGCGGCCAAGAGACAGACCCAGCAGCCTTGGAAAGCGGATCGGGCCTTCCCTCGGGAGAGCCGCTGCTTCTGAAGGGATGATCGCCGCGCGCAAAGAGCCCCTGCTCGGCTCCGCGTGGCACTTCCGATCCCGGCCTCAAGCGCCTCGCTCCCGGTCCCGCCCCCGCCCCGAGTGCGCGGCGCCCCCCCGCCCCGCCCCGCCCCGCCCCTCGGGCCAGA